ACAAAAATTAGCTAGGCATGGTTCAAGTGTCTATAGTTCCAACTACTTGGGAGGCTGAGGTGGGAGGATCGCTTGAGCCTGGGAGTTCGAGGTTGTAGTGAGCCGTGATCATTCCACTGCCCTCCAGACTGAGTAACAAAACAAGACCCTGTCTCAAAAAAAAAAAAAAGAAAGAAAGAAAGAAAGAAACAGATCATGGCCCCAAATGTTAAATCTAAAACTATAAAATTTTTAGAAGAAAATATATAAGATAGTATTTGGGAACTTAGGAAAAGATTTCCTAGATACAACATAAATGCACAACTCATAAAGGAAAATACTGATAAATTATACTTCCTCAAAACTCAAAACTTTTGCTCTTCAAAAGATAACATTAAGGCTAGGTGCAATGGCTCACACCTGTAATCCCAGCACTTTGGGAGGACAAGGTGGGTGGATCATCTGAGGTCAGGAGTTGAAGACCAGCCTGACCAACATAGTGAAACCACATCTCTACTAAAAATACAAAAATTAGCTGGGTGTGGTGGTATGCGCCTGTAATCCCAGCTACTTGGGAGGCTGAGGTAGGAGAATTGCTTGAATCCAGGAGTCAGAGGTGGCAGTGATCTAAGATCATGTCACTGTACTCCAGCCTGGGCTACAGAGCAAGACTCCATCTCAAAAAAAAAAAAAAACAAAAAAAAAACAACCACACAAGGGGTTATTATTACATACTAATTAGAATGGCTAAAATTTTAAAAACTGATCAGACCAGGTGTTGTCCAGGGTGGAGGAACTGGAACTCTCACACCTCGCTGGTAGAAATGTAAAATAGTATAGCTACTTTGGAAAACAGTTTCTCTTTCCTTCCTTCCTTCTTTCCTCCCTCCCTCCCCTTTTTTTCCAAGGTCTTGCTCAGTTGTCCAGGCTGGAGTGCAGTGCTGCAATCATAGCTCACTGCAACCTCAAACTCCTGCATTCAAGCAATCCTCCCACCTCAGCCTCCCAAGAAGCTGGGACTACAGGTGTGCACTGCCATATCTAGTTCATATTTTTATTTTTATTTATCTTTTTGAGATGGAGTTTCACTCTTCTTGCCCAGGCTGTAGTGCAGTGGCACAATCTCGGCTCATCTTAACCTCTATCTCCTGGGTTCAAGCGATTCTCCTGCCTCAGCCTCCTGAGAAGCTAGGATCACAGGCATATGCCACTACACCCAGCTAATTTTTTATATTTTTAGTAGACAGGGTTTCTTCATGTTGGTCAGGCTGGTCTCAAACTCCTGACCTCAGGTGATCTACCCACCTTGGCCTCCCAAGGTGCTGGGATTACAAGCATGAGCCACCATGCCCAGGCATGTTTTTATTTTTAATAGAAATGAGGCCTTGCTGTGCTGACCAGGCTGGTCTTGAACTGCTGGATCCAAGTAATCCTCCCACCTCGGCCTCCCAAAGTGCTGGGATTACAGGTATGAGCCACCACACCCAGCCTTAATCATTTATTTAAAAGTTAAATATACGGCCGGGTGCAGTGGCTCACACCTGTAATCCCAGCACTTTGGGAGGCAGAGATGGACAGATCACGAGGTCAGGAGATCAAGACCATCTGGCTAACATGGTGAAAGCCTGTCTTTACTAAAAATACAAAAAATTAGCCAAGCATGGTGGCAGGCACCTGTAGTCCCAGCTACTCAGGTGGCTGAAGCAGGAGAATCACTTGAACCCGGGAGGCGGAGGTTGCAGTGAGCCGAGATTGCACCACTGCACTTCAACCTGGGTGACAGAGCGAGACTCCATCTCGGAAAAAAAAAAAAAGTTAAATAGACATACCCCATGACCCATAGCTATTTACCTACAAGAAACGAAGCATATGTCATAGCTATTTACCTACAAGAAATGGAAGCGTATGTCCACACAACTTTTACATGAATGTTCATAGGAGCTTTATTTGTAATAGCCCAAATCTGGAAACAACCCAAATGTCTATCAACAGGTGAAGGGATAAACAAATTATGGTCTCACCATACAATGACATATTCTTCTGTAATAAAAAGGATAAACTACAGATACACACAACAACGTGGATAAATCTCAAAACAATTATGCTGAGTGACAGAAGCCAGACCACACACAAAAACGAGTACATTCTGTATGATTCCATTTCGATAAAATTCTAGAAAAGGCAGATCAATCTACAGTGACTGCAGTGGTTGCCTAAGGACAGGGTGGGGTGAAGGGAGGGATGACAAAGGGGCAAGAGGACAGTTTGGGGACGGTGGATGTGTTCGTGTACTTGATTGTGGTATAGGGTTTCATGTATGATACATACATGTGTCAAAACTCATCCAAGTGCACCTTTTCAATATGTGCAGTTTCTTGTACATTAACTGTACCTAAGGGAAGCTGTCAAAAACGTAATTTAAAAAAAGGAAAACCAAACCCAACCAGGAATCTTCGTACTTCCCACCGCTGCCTCTGCGGCCCCCCAGGCCAGCTCCCCCTCACCTCCACCATTGCCTCTCCACCGAAACTACCTCAGAAGCCTCCTCCCTGGCCTCCCAGCTTCTGCTCTGCACCCTCCAGCCATTCTCGGCAGAATAGACAGTGATCCTGTGAACACAGGAATCAGTGCCCGTCTTGGCTCTGCTTAAAGCCTCCACAGCCCCATTGCCCTCAGAATACAAGCCCATGTTGCCGCAGTGACCATCTGGTGGTCCCTCAAACCTCTGCCTCCTCTCTGTACCCCTCACTCACTCTGTCCCAGCCATACCAGCCCCCTAGCTGTCCTTAGAACGCGCCGGTCATGCTCCTACCTGGAGCCTCTGCAAGGCTGTTCCTTCAGTCTGGAATGCTCCTCCCCAGATACCCAAGTGCCGAACTGCCTCTGCAACTTCAGGGCTTCATGCATATGCCACCTTATTCACACAGATGCCACCCCTCCATCAGTGTCCCTGCCACTCCTGATGCCCCTTTCCCTGCTCCACTTGCCTACTTACCATACTATGTAAAATTAACTCACTGCTTTTTTTTTTTTTTGAGACAAAGTCTCACTCTGTCGCTCATGCTGGAGTGCAGTGGCACAATGTCAGCTCACTGCAACCTCTGCCTCCCAGGTTCAAGTGATTCTCCCACCTCAGCTTCCCTAGTAGCTGGGATTACAGGCACACGTCACCATGTAGGCTAATTTTTTGTAGTATAGATGGGATTTCTCCATGTTGGTCAGGCTGGTCTCGAACTCCTGACCTCAGGTGATCCACCCACCTTGGCCTCCCAAAGTGCTGGGATTACAGGCGTGAGCCACCGCGCCCAGCTTTTTATACTCTTTTTGAGACAGAGTCTCACTCTGTCGCCCAGGCTGGAGTGCAGAAGTACAATCTCAGCTCACTGCAACCTCTGCCTCCTGGGTTCAAGAGATTCTGTCTCAGCCTCCTGAGCAGCTGGGATTACAGGTGTGCACCAGCACGCCTGGCTAACTTTTGTACTTTCAGTAGAGATGGGGTTTCACCATGTTAGCCAGGCTGGTCTCAAACTCCTGACCTCAAGTGATCTACCTGCCTTGGCTTTCCAAAGTGCTTGGATTACAGGCATGAGCCACCATGCCCTGCAACTTCATTGTAAAGTGACAGAGGAGCTAAAGGGGGCCTGACATGGCAGAGTCCGGAAGGGAAGCAGGCTGCACCTAGACCACAGTGTCTACTCTCACTCGGGCCAGACTCAAGCCCACTGCCCCATCACAGGGAGACCAGCAACGCTGTCATTCCCCATGTCTTCAGGACAGAAATCAACCACGCCCACAGCTAGTGTGAGTTCCCCTCTCCCTCCCTCAGGTATTCATTAATTCAGCAAGTCTTTGCACAGTGCCTGCTGCTGCCGGCCCAGGTGAGGCTCTGGGGCTCGGGAAGAACTGGAGGCCTGTGGCGCCCGCTCTGTCATCTGCCATCCACAAGGAGCCCTGGGAGGCACAGCTTTCCATCTCATTTTGCAGATGTGGAAGTGGGTCTTAGAGGCATGGGGGCGGCCCCGCTCTGTCCACTGCCAGCTCCTGCAGCATCCTTCCACCTCCCAGATCCCCGCATTCCTTTTTCCAGGTCAACCTTAGCCACATCCCTCACAGGTCTGGAGCCTTTCCCCTAACATGGGCCCCTGCTGCTGGGTCCACCACTGTGTGCCAGCCACTCTACTGCTGCCTGCCTGGGCCACCTCATGACCTGTAAGCCCCTCAGGGTCTGCCCTATGCTGAGCTCACTCTCCCTCTCCCTTCCCAAAATGTGCCCGCCACCCTGGGCAGTCCTAGGTGGCTGCTATCAGGAGACCTAGCAACGAAGGGGCTGCAGGCCTGTCGGAGACACAGTCTCTGTCATTCAGATGTTCATGGCACTCTGGGAGGGCCCTTCCCTCAGGCTTTCAGGGTGCCAGATGTCCAGTTGGGGGTCTAGCTTCATGCTCCCACTCTGCTGCTCACCACGGGCAACCTTAGCCTCATCCATCTCCCTTCAGGCCTCTCAGCTCAACTCCCTGTAAAATGGAGCACTCGTACCAGTAAATTCCAAGTTCCTTTCAGCTGTGTGCACCTGTGGCTTCCAGAAGACAGAAGCAGGGTGTACCCTGGACACTTGGACCGTGATCACAAGTCAGCCCACTGTCCTCTCCCAAGCTCCTTCTAATCCAGGCCTCTGTCAGGTGAGCAGGAGGACCCCAGGATCCCCACCATGAAGATGTGGAAGCTGGAACTCCAAGATGATGGGCTCCCCAGGACCACGGCACAAACAGGTGACAGCTGGGGACCTGGCTGCTGACTCAAGTCCTGTGCCCTGTGCCCTGTGCCTTCCCCTGTTGCTACTTCCCCAAGCCAGGCCCTTCCTGGGGTGTCTGTGGGGACAATGGACCCAGGTAGGATGGAAAAGCTGCTCCTTGCTCCCCTTACCCACTCCTCCCCAGAGCCACGTTGAAGTTTCCCTTCTGGAATGACCCTTGGGGACTAGTGCAAGTGAGTATCAGCTCTAAGAGGAAGGGACGACCATGCCTTGTCTCCTCTGTCTTCCCAACATGTGCCTGGCCTGGCACATGGTATGTGCCTGGTAAATATTTGCTGAGTGATTGGCTGGAGGGTGGCCCTTGCTATGGGGTGGGTGGCTGTGGTCTGCTCCCCGTGATCACTCTTACCCCAGAAGTAATCCCAGGTCCCTGGGGTGTGTGCACAGACGCCCACATGCCTGCTCACTGCCTCGCTCACTGGCTCACTGCCCTCCCTATGTCCCAGACACAATGGTTCACGCCTGTAATCCCAGCACTTTGGGAGGCCGAGGCGGGTGGATCACAAGGTCAGGAGTTCTAGACCAGCCTAGCCAACATGGCGAAACCTCGTCTCTACTAAAAATACAAAAATTAGCCGGGCATGGTGGCATGCGCCTGTAATCCCAGCTACCCAGGAGGCTGAGGCAGGAGAATCACTGGAACCCAGGAGGCAGAGGCTACAGTGAGCCGAAACTGTGCCACTGCACTCCAGCCTGGTTTACAGAGCAAGACTCCATCTTAAAAAAATAATAATAATTTTTTTTTTTTTAAGAAATGGGGTCTCACTCTCTTGCCCAGGCTGGAGTGCAGTAGTGCTATCATGGCTCACTGCAGCCTCAACCCCCTGGGTTCAGGCAATCCTCCCAAGTAGCTGGGACTACAGGTATATGCCACCACACCCAGCTAATATTTTTTTTCTTGAGACAGTCTCTGTTGCCCATGCTGGAGTGCAGTGGTGAGATCTTGGTTCACTGCAACCTCCACTTCCTGGGTTCAAGCAATTCTCCTTCCTCAGCCTCCTGAGTAGCTGGAATTATAGGCGCGTGCTATCACGCCTGGCTAATTTTTGTATATTTGGTAGAGATGAGGTTTCACCATATTGGTCTCGAACTCCTGACCTCATGATCTACCCGCCTCAGGCTCCCAAAGTGCTGGGATTACAGGAGTGAGCCACTGCACCCGGCCTATATATTTTTTTCCATAGGGATGGGATTTCACTATGTTGCCCAGGCTGGTCTTAAACTTCTGGCCTCAGGTGGTCCTCCTGTCCCAGTCCCCCAAAGTGTTGGGATTACAAGCTGAGCCAGCACATCTGGCCCAAGGTTTTTTAAAACCAATTATTTGTGAACAAATACTTCTGTAACATACAATAAAAAAGAATTACTAAAAATTAATCACACTCTTGGAAATTGCAGCCATGTCGGATTGTTACAGGAGTTTCTAGACTGCACTTGTCTAAGTTCTGTACTCATCCCTTACCGTGCTGAGGACCAGTGACGAACAGCGCAAGGAGGTCCCACTCTGCAGGACGTGCGCGGAGGGCACCCTCTAGGCCTCGTCATTTCAGGTGATTGTATTGGCCCTCCGTTCCCATTTTGTCTGACAACCTCTCACCCTGCCTTCTGCATGGCCCAATCAACCACCAACTTCCTTCCATCCTAATGTTTTATTGGTGGGACCTCTCCTCTCTAGCCCATGGGCCGGCACCTGGCTCTCCTGCTATCGGTAGTCTTTACCCCACCTGACCAGGATGAGCTTGATAAAGGTCTACGGTGTTCCATTACCCCTCAGCTGAAATCCCTTATGGTTCCCCATTAGGACTCCAAACTCTCTTTTCACTTTTTTTTTTTTTTTTTTTTGAGACGGAGTTTCGCTCTTGTTGCCCAGGTTGGAGTGCAATGGCGCAATCTCGGCTCACCGCAACCTCTGCCTCCCAGGTTCAAGGGATTCTCCTGCCTCAGCCTTCTGAGTAGCTGAGATTACAGGCATGCGCCACCATGCCCGGCTAATTTTTTGTATTTTTAGTAGAGAGGGGTTTTCTCCAAGGTGGTCAGGCTGGTCTCGAACTCCCGACCTCAGGTGATCCATTCACCTTGGCCTCCCAAAGCACTGGGATTGCAGGTGTGAGCCACCGGCAGGACTCCAGACTCTTAAACCTGACATTCGGGGTGGCTCACATGCCTGTAATCCTAGTCCTTTGGGAGGCTAAGGTTGGCAGATCAGCCTGGCCAATATGGTAAAACCCCAACTCTACTAAAACAAAACAAAAATTGGCTCGGCATGGTGGCACACACCTGTAGTCCCAGCTACTCAGGAGGCTGGAGTGGAGGACGTTGGAAATAGCTGGTAATAACACCCCTGCCACTTCCCAAGCACTCACTATGGGTCAGGTGCTTTCTACCTGTAAGGTATGCATATCTACTTGCTGATAGGTTGCTCCAGTATGGAGCAAGAGATGGCACGTAGGCCTGATTTAACTGGAATCTGCAGCATGCATCATGTCCTGCAGTTAAAAACCAATGGTGCCTGGCCTGTCTTCTTGTTTTTCTACATTTTCTAATTTGTCTACAACAAATGTCTATCACCTGGTTTGGTTTTGTTTTTTGAGACGGAGTTTCACTCTTTTTGCCCAGGCTGGAGTGTAATGGCCCAGTCTCGGCTCACTGCAACCTCCACCTCCCAGGTTCAAGTGGTTCTCCTGCCTCAGCCTCCCAAGTAGCTGCGATTACAGGCACATGCCACCATGCGTGGCTAATTTTTGCATTTTTGGTAGAGACAGGGTTTCAGCCTGTTGGCCAGGCTGATGTCAAGCTCCCAGCCTCAAGTGATCCGCCCAAATTGGCCTCCCAAAGTGCTGGGATTACAGGGGTGAGCCATCGCACCCGGTCTATCACGTAGTTTTCGCCACTGGTTTTTCTTTCTTTGTTGTTTCCTTTACAGAGGTAATAAGTTAGCCATTGGTTTTTAACGGCAGGCCATGTATGGATGCTGCAGATTCGTTACATCAGGCCTGCCTGCCATCTCTCGCTCCGTATTGGCAGTTATGAGAACTCACCAGTAGATGTGCATGTTTTCTAGGTGGAAAGCTCCTGACCTACAGTGAGAATAAGGAAGTGGCAGGGGTATTGTTACCACCCATTTTGAATGTCCTTCACTCCAGCCACTGCCTGACTTTTTCTCAAATCTCTCCTCTTCTTCCCTCCTCACCTAGGACCTATCCTAATACAGTTTCTTATCATTTTTCAACAGGATTAACACTCCAGCCTCTGGCCAGGTGTGGTGGCTTATGCCACCAGGAGCTCAGGAGGGTCACTTGAGGCCAGGAGTTCAAGACCAGACTGGGCAATATAGGGAGACCAGCCCCCACCGGCATCTCTACAAAAATAAATTTTAAAAAATTAGCTGGACACAGAGGTGCATGCCTGTAGTCCAAGCTACTCTGGAGACTGAGGCAGGAGGATTTTTTGAGCTGAGGAGCTTGAGGCTGCAGTGAGCTATGTCACGCCACTACACTCCAGCCTGGGCAACACAGTGAGACCCCATCTAAAAAAAAAGTCTCCTAATCTCCTAATGGGTTTCCCGGTCTCCAGTCTCCAGCCCCTCCCTCCCCTCCCCATCAACCATGCAGCTGCCACAATGCTTTGAGAG